CACACACACACACACACACACACACACACACACGTTTCAAAAGCTTTCAGCATCCCTTCTGGTAAATCCATGTGTTTGAACAGAGGCTGAACCTCCCCTCATCTCCAGGGAATTCGTAGTAAGTTGCCGAGTGCCACAGAGCCAGGACGGACCCACAGGGACCCGGTGTCCACCAGAAGGAAGCGCTGTGCAGCCCGCCCCGCCCTCCGGGGGATGGCTCTGTTGGAGTGCATGCTTGTAGCCACCATGTCTGATGGTTGGTGGGTCTCACTGAGGATGGTTGGATGGTTTTTGCTGACCCTCTACTAAGTAGGATGCTCTTCTCCGGGACTCACCCCTCATGAGCACACGGCCCAAGTACACGACGGCAGAGTCTCCCCATCTTCACTTCTAAGGGGCACTCGAGCTGCTTGGATGACTTCCAAGTCAGATTTCTCTTCCGGCAGTTCTTGATGTACTTGGTATTCTTCATCCACCCATGATCCCAATCCACCCATGCTTCTTTGGCTTTCCTATCCAGTGCCGGCATATAGTTGAAAAGACCTCGGTTCCAGGCGAGCACACCTGAGTCCCCACACTGACATCTTGGTTCTCAGCAGATTTTTGCACCTTATTTGCCAAAAACATTATGTGGAAAAGGAGTAGTAGGAAACTATAAAGTACGAGGTTAAACCTTCTCACCAAATTGACCACTGAAAAGTCTCTTCACACAAGTGGAGGAAGGTCAGCTAACAGTCCCCACACAATTAACATTGCAGTATTCCAACTGTCACCTGGCATTGTGGCTTTTTCAGATGTTTCCTCACTTAGTCTATTGTGATACTTAGTCAATGTTGACTCATAGCAGCCGCACAGAAAAACGTAGAACAGCCTTTTGGAGTTTCTGAGTCTTTAAGTCTTCATGGGAACAGACGCTTCCTCCTTCTCCCGTGGGAGAAACCACTGACCTAGCCGTTAGCCACTAAATTCATAAGCCACTATGCCACCAGGGCTCTTCGAGGTCCTTGTGAATTTTTCTTCCAAGTCTCCCATGAGCACTTGCAGTGGGTATGGTCTTGCGTTTCAAAAGCAAATTCAAACTTCTCAATATGCTTTTCCAGTGACGGATGCTGCCTGCCCGGATGTGTATACTCTGATATAAATAGGAAAATAATAAATATACCTCTCTTCAAAAACCCCTCATGTAAATGTGTTCTTCTCTGCAAACTGTCCAACATATAATGGCAGATGATTTCAGCAGTACTTCTGCTGAAAATAGTTCTTCATTATCTTTTCAGAATCCATTTTAAGAAGATGAGTGTCTCACTGCTAATTCACAGCTCTGCTGTGCATCACATCAACTGTGTAACAAGTGACAAAGAAGGGAAGGGGTCTTGAAGAGGCCATTACATCAGGGACCCGATCCAGACACTCAGCAACAGGCAGTTACTGCAGCGGTTCTCCACCTTCCTCCGCCGCCACCCTTTCATGCAGTTGCTCATGTGGTGGGGACCACCACCCCCCAACCATAAAATTATTTTCATTGCGACTTCATCACTGTAATTTTGCTGCTGTTATGAATCGGGCGACCCCTGTGAAAGGGTCATTCGACCCCCTAAAGGGGTCACGACCCACATGTTGAGAACTGCTGAGTTACTGAGTAGTTTATGTCTTTTCATTGGTGGTATAAAATTACCAAATCCTATTGAAGATATTAAAAATTTTAAGTGTGTATTCCCAATTATTAATCATGAATGATATATATTATATGTGTAAAGTATATGCATATGTAAAGTAAGCATTCTAGGTTCCCTGAAGTAAGTGAAAGAAGTAAAGCTGTTTCAATGTAATATGCAGTCAATCACCAACAAAATATATTCAGCTCAAAAATTTCCTTCAAATTTTTTTTTTTGCTAAACCTATGGATAAGAATCAGCTTCATAACTAATCTGCCTAACAAAAGCAATCAAAGAGTTAAGGTACTTATGGAAAACTTCACTTTTCTTCTGAATAAACTTATTTATGCCAACAGTGACTACCAATTTATTAAGCTAAAAGGTGGTGTAATCAGCACATAGCTTAACCCGGCAAATGCACAACTGCTCAACTTCACAGCAGCATGACTCATCGTCAGGATGTCTAACAAATTCAGAGAGCCTGCATTTAAAAAAAATTAACTTTCAGTTCTAATTAAACTACAATAGGAAAAAAATGATTCCTAGCCTGAACATATCCTGCATACATTTTTCAAGAAATAAGTGTTACGATTGAAGCTGCAGTTTGAGAGTTCTATTAAAAGCCACTCACCTACACATTCCATGGTTTCATCTAATGGTGCAAAACCATCTGGACACGCGTCAAAGCAGCGGCCTCGGTGCAAATAGAAGCCTACTTTGCACTTGGTACAAAAGTCTTTGCTAAAACAAGAATCACAGTTTTCTATTCGGCATCCTAAAAAATAAAAAATAAATATTAAATAGAAAATAAAGGAAATTTTCTGTCAAAGAAATTCAGTTGCGTTGCAGATAAACATTTCACCAAATCACGCCATTGGAATTTTAGTGGTTAGAGAAATGCACTTGATGCTATTTTGTTCCCTAACAGCATCTCTTTCTAAATCCTTCTTGCTTCGTCCAACAGTCCACCACATCAACAGTATAAGAGACAGACGGCCGTCGCATGGTCCTAGGCCCAATAAGACCCTCCACAAAGCCTTGCAACCGTCCAAGTGATTAAAATAAAGGATCAAAAGTAAGAAAGGAAATGCCTTCATGACTAACTTCATTGCTGTTGGAATTGAAACCTGATAGGCCCTTCAAAAGACCTACAACGAAAAACACAATGAGAACACTGGAGTCAGTACTCTGAATCAAGATAAAAACTAAGAATTTTGATTTTGAAAAAAATTTTAAATGTGTGGTCTTTCATCTAGGCTCTGGGTCAATGCTGGCATCTACTTTCAGGAGCACTTGACTTGGAGAGGCAGCCTGGGTGATTTTACTGAATGCCAAGGCTTTATGTGCAATTTCACTTAACCATCAGTTATCATCTGACATGGAGAGTAGTATTCCCCATTTGCAGATGAGGAAACTGAGACCAAAATGGATTAGGTTACATAGTTAGCAGGGACCCAATTGGTCCTGAAGATCCAAAGCTGTCTGTCCCCCGAATCTGTTCCCTTTTTTTCTATAACACACTTACTGAATTCTGCAAGGGATAGTTTTTGAAACATAAATACTTAGAAGTTTGTTTGAGTTGTCGCTATATTGTTATCATTTTGTGACCATCTGCAGTTGGTCATTGGTCCCTCTGATACTATGTCTCAGTTATAAAACAGGATTCCACTGTTGGCATAGTAAGTTAGGAGGTGGGCTGGTAACTTCAAAGCCACAAGTTCGAATCCACCACATACTCTAAGGGAAAAAGATGAGTTTTCCTGTTCCCTTATAGATTTGTATTCTGGAAAAACAAAGGGGCCGTTCACTGTCTTGTAGGGCAGCTGGGAATCTAAGTAGACTCAATGCCAAGGACTGTTCTTTGGCTTAAGCACTGATTACAAGAGGACCCACTGACATGAGCAGAACTGATCCTTAGGGTAGTTGAGACTATCGATCTTTGAAAAAGTAGGCAGCCTCGTCTCTTTCCTGCTAAGCAGCTGGTGGGTTTGAGCTGCCAATCTTGTGGATAGAAGTCTAATGATTAACCCACTAGGCCACCTTTTCAAATGATTAAGTTGTAAGTTAACTAGTTTGGGTGGTTTAATGCTAACCCAGAGCTTGGCAGTCTGAACCACCCACTGGATCCACGGGAGGACGACCTGGCATGCTGTTCCTCTGAAAAATGCAGCATCAACCCCCCCTGGGCAATCCTACTCTGTCTCATGGGATCCCTATGAGTTGAGACCAGCAGCACGATAGATCATCTACACACAGGAGCCTACAGTGAGTTAGAAGCATATCTTTTTCCCTTCAATCAAACACAGTACAACGAAATGTGATAAGATGCATTACTGTATAGGCAAGTACTCTACAGTAGCTTCCTTGTTAGATCCGTAGTTTCTGAGTCAGAAATCACTGGCATGTACAGGTGCAAATAAATACACCTGAGAAACACATGGCTTTTTACTCCTTTCAAGAGTACCAGTCTCAGAACCCACAGGGCGCCTTCACCTTGTTCTGTGAGTCAGAAGTGAATTGGTGACAGGGAGTTTGGTTGGGGAGCTGGTCTCTCATGCAGAACACAGAAGAGAAAGTTGGTGGACTGATGAACTGAAAGGTTTGGTTTTCAACAGAGCATATGATATTATGACTTGTGACATATTTAACGAATGGCCATAAAGATCTATAAACCTGAAAGATAACTTTACAGCCTGGCATGTCCCCATTAACAAGACTCTAAAGGCCAGCACTATGTCTAGCACTTGAGTGATTCAGAAAACCTTTGAAATATGCTAGTATCTTTCAATTCTGAGTTTCCAGGAACTGTATGAAGCCCCTAAAGCTCTTGCAAGCCAAGAGATAATAAAGTTTAAAATATTGTCAACATTTGAAATCATTAAATATTACATTTCTCATTGAGAAAATAAACCCAGAAAATAGAATTTAATGACTGAAAACAAGTTTGCAGCAAAGTAGGTTACATTATAAATAATAACTTTCTAAAAACCTATAAAAAAAGAAAATGGAAACTTTTCACCTTTCGATTTTAAGTCTCAGCAGGTTTTTGTATGGTAAATGACCACCATGAAGCAGTTAATTCAGCTCTTAAAAGGTTACCAAATTTACAGTTGGAACATCAACTATGTATGGGTGAAAGTCCGCAGGCATACTGCACTGTTGCTCTTCTGGGGGGAGGGGAATGGCAGGCACAAAAAACACTTTATCACCCCATAAAAGGTTCATTTGTAGTCACAAAGGCTGCAACCTATATTTTAATAAATGACTGGCCTATAGCTGGTCAGTGGTCTCTTAATCATGGTCAAAATACATGACCATTATGTCCACAAATTGTTGGTTTTCTTGCTATATTTTTTTCCCAAAAGCAAGCAACTCTTCCAGTTAGTAGAATTATTTTCCAAGAAATAATGATAAACATTCCCAAGAATAAAACCAAACTAATGGGTAAAGAGAAGAAAGCATTTCTTACTTAAAAGAAAAAGAAAGAAGTACTATTCACTTCATAAATCAGCTGTTATCTATAAGATCCAAGTTCTCTTTAAAACATGGCCTGTACCAATAAGCTTTTTTTGGACAAAAAGTTCCAACAATAAACATTTGGAGTTAATTTCATAAGGTTCTTTATTGTTACCCATAGCTCCCTTTCCTCATCTGACTCTACCGGGCCCTATGAGGGCCCCTAGGCCTTTCTCCAGGCAGAATCACACTAGAAACTTAATTATTTGTTCTAAAAAGTTAAGTAGAACAAAAAATATGATACTGTACATTCAAACTGTGGCATACTTCCACCCATTTAAACAAACAGTGGATTCTAGGCAATGTCTACGATAAAACTCTAAAACCTATTGTTAAGTAAAAAAGACAGGTTGCAGAATATACTTGGCATGGATACATTTGACATGTAGCAATAAAATCATAGGAGAGTGTATGTGGGGGGGGCAGTAGCTCAGAGAAGTTAATTCGGGAAGGAGCTAGCTATATTAAAAATACATACTTCTGAATCACATGAATTGTTAATATATTTATGCACTAAAAGTATACCTACCAAAAAAGTAATTTCAATTTACAGCTGTGACCTAGTTTACCAAAAGGGGGGAGGGGGGTGTTGGGGAGGCGTTAACATTTTAAAGTAAACCATTTTAACTGTAACAGGCAAGAATCACTAAAGAGCATATTATCCCTTTCTAGACTTTATCAGATTGGGATGCATGGAATTTGACTCCTTAATTGATCATGCTGAGCCTCCCGCTACAGAGTCCAAAGGACCCATTCCCTGGACCTTCTCTCTGCCTAGCGTCCTTTGTTTGCACATGACCCATCTGCTTCTCTTGTGCCGTCGGAAAACGGTTCCCAGGCTGACCACCCGGTCTGAGGTTTGTGTGCCCTGGAGGCACCTCAGGAGAAAGGCCTGGCAATTCACTTTGAAAAGAAACAGCCATTTAAACGGCTGTGGGTTTATGTGAATGAGGGTGGGGCAACTTGGAACAGATGGTGAGAATGGGTGCCCAACTCAAAGACTTGTACATGAAGAAATATTCAAATTGGTAGATGCCCTGCTGTGTATATGGGGGGTACCCCCCAAACCCGATGCTCCCTCCCCTTTTATTTTTGATGTTCGGTGGCTAGTGAATTTGGAGTTTGTTTCACTAGGTCAGACTGTTAATCAAGCTTTCTTCTCAGAGGTTCTGAAAAGATTGCATAAAAGTGTGCGACAAAAAAGCCCTGATTTGTAGCAGACAGGGAAGGAGTTTTGCCACCACGACAACTCACCTGCTCACACAGCCACCTCATGGACCAGTTTTTGCCAAAACCCAGCAAGCCTCTCTTGCCCCATGCACCTTACTCACCTGGTTTCACTCTGTGGGATTTGTGGTTTCCACATATGCAGAGGGGCATGAAAGGACAGTGATTTGATGACATAGAAGAGGTGAAGAAAAAAGAAGGGAGGTGCCGTCAGCCACCCAAACAGATGAGCTTGAAAAATAGTTCCAAGAACGGAATCACAGATTTGACAAATGCATTCAGTGTAATGGAGAGTCCTTTGAAGGTGAAGAAGGTTGATTTGACAAATGCATTCAGTGTAATGGAGAGTCCTTTGAAGGTGAAGAAGGTTTTGTAAAACAATTGAAATACATAACTTGGAAAAAATTATGTTGGGGGGGATCCCCCTTATCTTCTCAGCCACAGCAAACCTAATTTAAGTAAATAAGAGGAAACCACGTGGAGCACAGGTCAACTCTGAGACATGTGGTCAGACTCGACATTCACAAGCCCTCTGTTGTTTACTTTCTACTGACACACAGACTCTCCAGCGTGGGGGTGGCAGGGAGGCTATGCTTGATGCCAAGTCAGTAGTTGAGGTTCTGGTGGTCACCTGGTCTCAGTGACACTCGGCACAATATGAAACTAAGGCAGGCAGCAGTCCTGATACTCACTACCAACTGGAATGGAGCAAACTCTCCTGGGCCCCAAGGCTTTTTTTAAAAATTATTTTATTGGGGGCTCGTACAATTCTCATCACAATCCATACATACATCCATTGTGTCAAGCACATATGCACATTTGTTGCCCTCATCATTCTCAAGACATTTGCCTCCTACTCTAGCCCCTAATATCAGTTGCTCATTTTCCCCCTCCCTCCCCACTCCCCCCTCCCTCATGAACCCTTCATAGTTCATCAATTATTATAGTTTTGTCATTTTTTAAGCAAACAACTGCACGAACCACCTAACCGGGGCGTCTCCTTAGGTCCTTCCGCACCTACAAAGCTTTTCT